TTTATCACCCTACATGAAATAGATTGAATATATCTTTTATATATATGATATACTGATAGCCTCAATAACCTACTTATAACTCAAAAAGAGATTATCTTGCCAATAATCTCTCGTTTGGTAAGCCAAAATAAGCTAGTAACTAAGTAGACGAACTGATAAAAGTCAAGAGTTAACTTATGATGGTCAAACAAATTCTTTCGTTTTTACTATAATTGTTAATAAGTAACTGGCTTAGAGATTAAGAAATATATCGTAAACTCTAATTGTTGGTGTTAGACCCCCCAAAAAAGTGTGAGTTCAACTTATAGTTCAATAAGCTTTAGTAGGAAAAAGTTGGCCTATTACACGTTAAATTCAACTATTCTTCTGACAAATATGCAAGCTCACGAAGTGATACGACACTAAAATCATTAAAGAATCGACTTTATATGAAAAATTTAAAATGTATCACTTTACCTTATGAAGTCGAGGCGTTTCTAGTCGACACCAAGCCAATTCTCGACTGTGGCTCCTTGGCAGTGTGAGTGGGCTCAAAAGATCGGCAGCCATGTGATAAAACTCAGAATCCTTCGAAGTCGAAGTCGGTGAAATGAACCTAGCTCGTACTGAAGAAGAAGGATGGCCTTCCGCCAGACGGTCCGATAAAAATGCTGTAGGCTTTATAGGGTGAGAAGAATGCCGCTCATCTTTACCGAAGATTTCACCAAGTCTTGAGGAATGAGAAGGAGAGGAACAGAATAACATATGCTCAATGAAACACGTTTTTAAAGTGAAGCATTATCATTTATGAGTGTTATATATTATTATAAATCGAAAAATTTGATATTCCTATCGGCACCCTTTAATGTCTGGAGGAGATTTAATTTTCACTAAATCACTAATATCCTGAAATATTCACATCAATAACGAACTATTCATAAAAGAAACTTCATTAATAAAGCTATGCTTCGTGAGTTTATATGAAAATCGGAGGTAACCATGAAATCAATACACTTAATATGGCCTAAATTGCCTTATTGTTCAAGCCAGTACAAGTAGTATATTGAAATGTGACCGAGCAAAAATGGTCCCACCTATCGGTGCATTTGAATACCTGGATAATCTGATAAAGGTGAGCGGGAAATGAGGAGAAGGGTTTCTACAGCTTTCATCATAATTGTTTGTTGTTTTGTTGATATTAGTTGGCTGAGAGTGAATGATTCGAGCCACGAAAGTCGGGGAGCTATGTATAAAACTTCACCGCCTAGGGCACATAAACCTATGCATTTTGAATTACATGAAGAAAAACATTTTTTAAACAAGATATGAG